CCAGCTGTCACTCACGCAGCTGGGCGGATCCAGACATAATTGTTGGGATCCGCTTCAGCTGCGGCGTCTCAGTATACCGCGAGCTGTATACTGAGCTTAGGGTGACGGGAGGACGCTAGTTTGTGTCCTCCCGTTACCCTAAGGAGAACTATGGAGAAAAGCCCTAACCCCATAGTTCTCCTTTAAAGATCAGTTGATATTTTTCTGTAATAGAGTCTTTAAAACACAGGTGAATGTGCATGTCTTGCAGAGATGTACTGCATATGTTTTTTATTGTTTTTTGTTTGTTTATTTTGCCCTGACATATACTTTAATATGTAAAAACTCTAATTTTGTTTGTAGGTATAGCAGAAGCACTGCCTCAGATATGTTCCTGGTAGGCAAGAATCTGTATCTGCCACATGACCATAACAAATCTATTTAATTTAATTAAAAAGTGAGATGAAGTGTTTTCTAATGTTTTTAAATTATTTCCTTGTAGGTCTTATATCGTTCATCACAGAATAAAAAAAGTCATGCTGTTTTAAAGATGGCTATAGTGTGGATACTCTCATTCCTTTTATATACACCAGCCATTTTTATTTTTGATAAAAATGATCCAGAATATATTTGTTCAGTGGGATTTAATAGTAAATCAATGTTCCTTTTAGCTTCATCATGCTTAGACTTTTTTGTGCCGTTTATCGGTATTTCATTCTTTAATTTGAGCATTTACTGGAATATTTTGAAACGGAGTAGGAAAAAATCCCAGCCTTCTAAGCATCAATCATTGGATGATGAGGGACATGAGGAACCTTACGTCATTGCAACAGAAAATACTGCTTCTCCACTAAAGACTGAAGAAAAAGTTAAGAGACTGAAGGACTCTGTCATGCAATGGTTCAACAAGAAGGATCCTGCCTTTTCCAAAAATTATTCAATGACTGATGCTAATTTAATTCGTCTTTCTCGGGATAAGAAAGCAGCCAAGTCTCTTGCAATCTTGGTTTTTGTTTTTATTTTGTGTTGGGCCCCATACTCAATTATGGCTGCCTGCCGGGAATATTGCTACCAGCAATATGTCAGTGATGTCACAACCTGGTTGCTATGGATTAATTCAGCCATTAACCCTGTTCTCTATCCCTTGTGCCACAAGAGTTTTAAAAGGGCATTCTATTTGACTGCTAAAAAGTTTGGCAGTTTTTTCAAAAGAAATATCTAGCATTTTAGCAAATGTGTTCATATTGTACATCTGGTTTCACTACTTGAGACTAAGGGATTGATTTACTAAAGGAAAATAGGCTGTCCTCTTTGCAAGGGAATTTGCACTTTGCAGGGGAAGCTACCTTTAGCTTAGGGAATTAGTGACATTTCACTATACAAAGACTACCCGATAATGTGCAAGGAATCTGTCTTTTAGCTTGCCCATGATTGGATGACAGAACTCAGCTGAGCTTCACCTTATTCACTAAACAAAGGGGAAACTTCCCCTGTAAAGTGCAAATGTCCTGTAATGTGAGCAGCCAATTTGCCTTTAGTAAATCAACCCCTAAATTGCTGCGTCAGCCTACCATCCTTTCCCCTACATAGTGTGTTACCTACTAGAGCTTGTATAAGCGATTGTTGTGAGGGCATTAAAATAACCACTGTCTAGTTTTCAATATATGCACAGACACATTACCCCTGTTATTTGTGTAAACATGGAGCATGTATGAGTAGAATGGATAACCTTGCGATTAGGGATGTTCAGATACCAAGTATGTACTGGGTACAAGTACAAGTACATGTACAGGTACTTTTCCAGCTCTAAGACTAGACTAGAGAAAAATGTAGGAGGCAGCTGTCATTTTTAAGGAGCATACGGAGCTCCTGGGATTTGTACATCCCTGTTTTAATGTATGATTTTTTTAAAAATAAATATATATAAGGGTAGCACCAATACCATTTTTTCAAGTACAAGTACTGATGCTTGTCCAAGTACTTTCAGATACAAGTACTGATACATTGTATTTACATGTGACAGTTTTTCTAAAACAATAGAGACTAATGATTTCAGGACAGTGGTGGAGCGCCAGAGCTAGGTTCCAGCTGCAACCGCTGCAACCCTGGTAGTTCTCGTGAAAATGCCAAGTATCAGCACTGGTATCTGAACATCCTTACTTGCGATGCAACAACCTAAGAAACCTCAGCCAGCTGAACTAGACATTGTTGAACAGCTCTATAATATCAGCTATTGGAAGTGCAGAGCTTAACATCCAATTGAGTTGAGACACTTGCATAACCTATTCTACAAGTTCACTAACTGATGCTTTTTAAGCACCCAACAAAATTCATCTATACACATTTTTTAACCGGAAAATTTAACAGTTGGAATGGAAGGGCATATGAAATCTTTTAACCTATTTATCTCCTATAGGTTATGTGGATTGCTGTACTTGATTATTTTTCATCTGTTTAATAAAACATTTTTTTTTAAAATGTATCTGCTAACTAATATGCGCAGCCTAAGCATCATAACACCAAAAAAGCTGCTAAACCTACATACACCATTTAGTAAATTGACAAAGACAGTTATTAGGATGTAATGTAATCTATAAAATTACTTCTTTTAAAACAACCTAGTAGAATATATAGAGTGTATTCAGAAAGTATTCAGACCCCCTTCACTTTTTGTTATGTTGCAGCCATACTACAGTTCTACAGTTGTTTAAATTCTTTTTTTTTTCCTTAATCTACACTCAGTACCCTGTAATGACAAAGTGAAAACAGAAATTTAGAAATGTTTTCAAATGTATGATAAAGGCAAATCTGATTTTCCACATTGGCATAAGTATTCAGACCCTTTGCAAAAACACTTGAAATTTAGTTCAGGTGCCTCCTATTTCTCTTGATTATTGCTGAGATGTTTCTACGCCTTGATTGGAGTCCACCTGTGGTAAATTAAATTGATTGGACATGATTTGGAAAGGCACACATCTCTCTATAGAAGGCATACTGTATCAGAGCAAAAGCCATGAGGTCAAAGGAACTTCCTGCAGAACTCAGAGACAGGATTATTGCAAGGCACAGATCTGGGGAAGGCTACAAAAAATGTCTTCTGCACTGAAGGTCCCCAAGAGCACAGTGGCCTCCATAATTCTCAAAGTTTGGCACAAACAGGACTCTTCCAAGAGCTGGTTGCCCAGCCAAACTGAGGAAGGGCCTTAGTAAGAGAGGTGACCAACAACCCGATGGTCACTTTGACTGAACTCCAGAGATCCTGTGTAGAGCTGGGACAAAGTTCCAGGACAACTATCACTGCAGCCCTCCACGGATCTGGCCTTTATGGCAGAGTGCCTAAACGGAAGCCTCTGCTCAGTGCAAAGCACATGAAAGCCTGCTTGGAGTTTGCAAAAATGCACCTGAAGGACTCTAAGGCTGTGAGGAACAAGGAGTAGAAACGTCTCAGCAATGATCAAGAGAAATTGGAGGCACCTGAGCTAAAGGGTCTGAATACTTATGCCAATGTGATATTTGCATTTTCCTTTTTCATACATTTGCAAACATTTCTAAAATTCTGTTTTCACTTTGTCATTACGGGATACTGAGTGTAGATTAATGAGAAAAAAAATAAACAACTGTAGTATCAGGCTACAACATAACAAAATTAGAAAAAGTGAAGGGGGTCTGAATACTTTCTGAATGTACTGTATAATCATACATCTGACACTAATCATGTGATGCAAAATTTGTGCTCAGATGCTAAAACTATGTGCAAACATAAATATTTCACACAAAAAATACAAAAATGAATATTGTTTTTTGTTCAGTGAGTACCTGTTTTATCCTTAATTGCATATAGTAAGGTATTACTTATTTTCTCGTTCAATTTTCTTGCAAGGAGTGCTTTAGTCTTAGACCATCTATTTGAGTCACAGAAGGGTTTTCTCTATTTTATCCAAAGGGAGTTCCGCTTTTGTGTGGCTTGTGCTACACCACAATGACATGTCCCCCCATTATTTTGCTCTGAATGCCATAAGCCAGTCACCATTACTTTGTACAGAAGGCCATCTCTGCCCTCCACCAGCATTTGGAATTGGATAAGTCAGAGGAGGAATACAAGAATGAGGAGGGTTGGGGTGTTGGTGATTAGTGATGAGCTCGGGCGTGTTCGCAAGCGCCTTGTGCCGAGCCCGCCAGGAAGCCGTCAGCGCGCAGCGCCAATCACAGGCACTGAGACATTTTCCGATCTCTGCAGCTGCGGACCGGGAACATCTCTCAGTGCCTGTGATTGGCGCTGCGCGCTGACGGCTTCCTGGCGGGCTCGGCACGAGGCGCTTGCGAACACGCCCGAGCTCATCACTATTGGTGATGTTGGATTACTGATAGTGAGGAGGAAAAGGAAGGTTGGGTTGCTGGTGGGGAGAAGGAGGCAAGTTGGCTGTGCTGGCAGTGAAGAAGAGGGACAAATTTGGGGGGCTTTGGGGGCACCACTCCTCCCTAATACAAGGGGAAAATCAAGAGATCTTTTGCCACCATCCAGGAGGGAGCCCAATATGTTGCACTTTGAGGAGGCTGTGCAAAGAAACTCTAGGTTGGCTGTATCACTCGTATTGGAGGCATAGCTGCAGGCAGTAAACCAATGGCCATAGGCTGCCTGATCTTCCACAAAACAGGGAAAAGCACAGGCAGCAGCAAATGGAGAGGGGAAATCTTATGGCCAGGGGAAAGGACATGTAGCAGCAAGTCGGTGTACAATCCTACAGCCATAGTCTGCCTGCCCTTCACTAAATCAGGGTTTCTGTTTTGTTGAGGTACATTTCATTTTCTTTTCCTATTACATTTACAGGGTTATTAACAAAAGAGTGAAGAGTTTGGAGAAGGCAGGAGAAGTGAACAATCTAGGACAACATAGCTAAACTGAAAAGTGAGCTGAATTGGAGAATGTTTCCAAATCAGCTATTTTGGCCTATATTGTTCACTTCTCCTGCCTTCTCCAAACTCTTCACCGTTTTGTCAATAACCCTGTTTTTTTTCCCCAGGTTTTTGGCAGCATACAGTTGTTGCTGACACAGGCAAAGCTGCCTTTTGTTTCCAGCTCGTCAATGCATACTTGTGCAGTAAAGTTGTGTGCACCAAAGTACTACATATTTATCCCCCACTTTTTTTTCATTGTAAGCTAATCCCGGTGATGATGAAGCAAACACTGGCAGGGATGGCCTTTTTTTTTAAATAAAAAAAAAGGACATCAAAAAATAGCAGCCAGCAGCAATTACAAAATATGTCCTTTGAAAATACACATGCAGTTACCTAGCTGTAACATGCATGTGGACTTAGAGAAAGGCTGTACGACTGTATGACTGAATGCCTGTTATGACTGTAGACAGTGCATGTAGAGAGGCTGCATGACACACATTGGCAGCATTTTTCTCTCAAAAGGACAGTCATGAAGGATATACATGTACAAGTACCTACACCAGTGCTTGCAGTCCCTACACTGTCCCTGTGCACTCCCTATCCCTTCCCTATTCCTTTTTTCCTTTTAAGCACATTTTCAATATGGTTGCTAGGAACCGTGTCTATTTATAGTGAGGGGATGGCACATAAGAAACCCCATATTATTAGCTATTTTAATCTGCCTGATCTAGGTTCAGGGCTAGGAAGTGTGTTATTTGTAGTTGGATGATATGACAGCGAATGGCCACATTAATGGTTTACCTCTTTAGCAGGAAGATTAGAGACAAAATCACCTCATGCCATTATTCTCCATAGGCAGGACACTAAACTGAATAGGGGGAGACTGCCTGACATACACTGAATAATGAATGTACAAGTTGAATGATAAAAGCATCTCCTGTGATCTACAGTAACTGATCAAAAACAATTAGAGTCACCTACCTATTAGAAGCGATGTGGGCACTCAAAGGGCACAATTATATTGTCTACATTACTTGTCTACTACATATACAGTATGTGTGTGTTTGTGTGTTAGCACTTTTCCAATCACCATTGGCATACCTGAGAATTTTCTGAGTGCACCCCAAAATTGCAGCCCCTGATGCTGTGACCATGATTGCTGCCTAACCTCTGTTTTGCAATATATTATTTTCATGTTTCATATGTTGAAAAGGAAAAGATACATAGCCTCAAAAATGATTCAGCATTCAAATAACTGTCTGCCAGGAAGATAAGTGTTCTAATTTTTTGCTCTCTTATAAACTTTAATATGAGCCATTGCCTGCTAGGTGTATATTCCAATGTTTGCCTTCCAGGGAAATGTTTATACTAGGGCTGGTAATGATTAAAATGTTCGTGTTCGATTAATCAAATTTTTTTAAATCGATTAGTCGATTAATTTCGATTAATTATAACGCACATACAGATCCAACTACATTGGCCTATACACATATAGCACAGCAATGAAGTAATGAAATGAACTAGCATCACACTAATCCAACACGTTGTTAATCTCACGTGCCCCACTCAATATGGCCGCCACTTGAGTGGGGCAACTCAGAATAATAACGTGCTGGATTAGTGTGATCCTAGTTCATTTTAATACTTCATTGCTGTGCTGTATGTGTATAGGCCAATGCCTTGGCTGGCGCTCATGCAGATAGTTTATTAGGCAAACTCAGCGGCCCAAGTGGCTCTGTCGGCTAACGAAGGGGGGAGGAGTTCGTTGATGTCACGGACATCGACGTCACCGGACTCCTCCCCCTTCGCTTCGTTAGCCGTCACGGACATCGACATCACCGGACTTCTCCCCCCTTCCCTTCGTTAGCTGACGGAGCCACTTGGGAAAGGGGGGAGGAGTCCGGTGACGTTGATGTCCGTGACGTCACTGGATCGCCGACGGGACTCCCGGAAGCCGGCGGAGAGGTGAGTGTTTTCATTAGCGATCAAAATAATTTTAATCAATCAAAAAGTTTAACGATTAATCGAGAAATTAATCTTTAATTTCCACAGCCCTAGTTTATACTGATTTGTTGGCTGCCAGATAAGATGGCTATCTCAGTGTACTACCTGCAAAGCCATACTGGGAGGAAAAAAGCAGCTCTGGAACATAAAAATACCTAGCCAGTGTTCACGATCAGTAGGGGCATTCAGCCTTTCTTAGTGGCAATCTGGCCTTAACTAGGCTCGACAACTCACTGACGCAACAGTGACAAGGCAAACATTTTTTATTAGGGCCAGGACAAGCCCGAAGAAAGATAAATATCACCGTGGTAAAACAGCTCAAGAACACAGTTGGTATTTGTTCCCCTAAAGTGCCTGTGCAAGCTCCGGCCAGAACACACTAGCCTAGACAAGAGAAAAATGCTGTCAATTTAATGGCAAAGATAGTAGTAACACAAAATCCCCACATTACCAAACTATGCCACTAGCAATGTCGCCTATCCTATAGTGCTTAATCCCTATCTTATACTACTGGTCAGTGGAAGAAAAAATATACAGTCTGCCAGTGGTGGGGCCCATAACTCTTGTAGAAGTGCTTACTCTTAATGTGACTGTATTTTGAAATGCACTGGAAAACCTGAAAGCCTCTGGGCCGGATTTTCCAAAGGCAGCAAAGTCTCAAGGCAGCTAACAAGCAAGATTATCACAAGTACAGGTGACCAAAAGGTCTCTCACCACTGATGTTATGTAGGTGTCCTGGGGTCAGCAATCCAGACAAGGGGTGGCCAGACAAGGGGTCACTCCACAATCTGGGCTCCCCTCACAACCTTGCACATATTGGATTACCAGTCTTCTCCCTTTTCTCACAGTACAGCACAGTGCAACACAGCAGCTTGTGGCTCTTTCTGATTCTCCCTGCAGGCTTGTGGTTCTACTACTCAGATCTCAGGCAGTACAATCTCTCTTCCTCAAGTCCACAGCAGTCTCTCCATCTCTGTATCATGGCTCTCCTTCCTGCTAGCTTCTTTGCACTGTTTAATTTAGTGGTAGAAGACAGTAGAATAAGATCTGAAGTGGCCCATTAAGGGGCTGTTGGCAAGGGCTACACCATTATTTGTGAACATGACAAACTATCCAAATTTGGTAAGCCAGTAATTATTTTATAATGTCACCTCAGCTGATAGAACCAGAGGCAGAAGGTATAGGCTACCTTTAGTAGTAGTAACATGGAAAGTTTTTTTTAATGAGATACACTCTTCATACTGGCCAAGTATATACCTTGGTTCTCAACTATTTCCATTCCATGTTTAGGTGTCTGCCAGAGCTAATCTGAAAGCGATACCACCCTTGTACAGACCATGCAGCATTGTGGTGTTGGTGGTGGTGTTGGTGGTGGGGGTGGTGGGGGTGATTAATCTACTGAACAGGGTACAGGGACTCAGTATAGTTATTTTCTGGACTTACATATGTGTTGTTATCTTAATGTATTACTATAAACTGTGCATAACCTTCAGATAAAAATTCCAAAGGGAAATATGTGTAATATCCAATTTCCTTCAACCTGCATGTAATTAAGCAAAATTAGATATCTGCAGTTTTGGCATTTCCCTTGTGCATTAATGGCTCGAAGCAGAACACAGTATGATTAAGCCTGTTTGTTTAAAGACAGTATAAAAACCTTGTAATGGTACACCTATGTGGCTTCAGCTCAGAATCAAGAGTTCATCCAAAAGGACTAACATGCTTCAGGATTGCTGAAATGCTTAACTGTATCACATTAGTCAGTTAACCAAACTCATTTGTTCTATGCATGGCTTGTAACAGAAAGCATCTTCTTGAAGACTGTTTTTGCTACAATGGAACTTTACAGACTATATAATGAGACTGGCATTGATTTGCTTAATTTTAATGAGACTGATACCCTAGAGATACAGTTTTCAGACTCAATGAAACTCGTGATAATCCTGCTTATCTCTTTAATTATTGTGTTCACAGTTCTTGGTAATATTTTGGTTATGTTAGCTTTCATTGTGGATAAAAGGCTTCATACTCAAAGCAACTTCTTTCTTCTGAATTTAGCCATATGTGATTTCATCATAGGTAAGTAAAGTTTATGCAGTACAATACTACCTATATAATAACATACAGGCAAGTTAAAGAAGACCTTGCACTGTTATTCAGCTTCTTTCCTACCTATAGAAAAAAAAAACCAAAATAAGGCAGAAGCAAAAGTTTTAAGTCCTCCCAAATGAGATGGGAGAGAGGGACAACCTTTCGCACAAAGTGTGTAGGGAAAGGACATAACCCTCAGTTATGTGCACCATGAAGAATTAATAAGCAAACAAGGATTGTCCAAACCCTCTAGTACTTTTTCCATCACTAGATTTGCTTTATACTGGCTCTTCAAAAAAAATAATGCAATAATAAAAAGGTTTATGTAAAAGGATTACTGTAGTAAAACACTTTGGGTAGTTATCGGGTGCATTTATTATAGAGTTCCATATACATCAGTCCAAAAAAAACAAAAAAAAAACCATACAGCGTTGAGAGGGGTCATGTGGCTTCAAGGGCAACATTAAAAATACACAAATCCTTTAAATATTGTGTTTGGGGGAGTTCTATGTTTTCATGGAGAGTTTCAGTGACAGCGTACACTGGCGGCATGTATTTGGCTGTGGAAGTTTTTTTTTTTTCCAATTAGCTTCACTTACATACAGCTGCAGCAGCACCCCAATCTGGATAATTTCAGATAGTTTTAGCAGAAGCATATGCTTTTTCATCAAAGGTAAAAAACTCGCTTTGACAGCCAGAAACTGGCCAGTAATTTGTTAAAACTGGCCCTGTTCTCACTGATGCAAATCTGTCCTGTTGCTGGCCAATTACTATCTCTCAAATCAGTTTACTAAATGTGAGATTGTAGTCCATCACAGGAATGATTTTGGAGGGGTGACTACTTTACAACACACACAGGGACCATGGAGAAGAAATGTAGCCACCCTCCAGAAGGAAGGACAGTGTCAGCACCAATTCGGAGATGATTTGAAGATTTACAGCTGAGTGATACACAAATAAGATACATTTTATAGTTAAGGTACCTTGGATGTATTTTTAAGATTTAACTCCTGGGTTTAGTGCCACTTTGCTGTAATGTTTTAAAAATATTAACATTTCTATTCAGGTTGCATAGTATAGCTCTCGCTATATGGTTCACACAGTACAAAGAGGTCTGCAAGGATTGTCCCTATAATGAGGCAGTTTGGGGCCTCAGGCAGTATCTCATTGGGTCATGTGGGGGGCTGCCCCCTTTCTGGCTAGAGCCTCTCAGGTTGCTAAGAGTTGTTAGCAACTTGAGATACTCTGGCCGGTGTCCCGCCCAGCTCGTGGCAACCAATGACATCAGTGAGCTAGGCGGGACTTTGGGGGATGCCCCCCCATAACTTGCACTGCCAAAATTCCCCCCAATCCATCCCCCCACCTCAGGTGGTAATTAGTCCAGGGACAGTCTGTGAATAAGCAACGGGAGAGGGGGGGTGGACAAATGACACTGCAGCTTAAATGAATGAGAGCTGTAGTTCTCAAAGACGCAGAGCCAGAAGTAGAGAGCCAGGTATACTATCCAGCTTGAAAGAAAGTATAAATACATAAATAAATATAAATATACAGCTATACCTAAATGGTATACACCTCATGAGACTTAACTTTTTTACACTGCAGTTTTCTTTTTATTTTGCTTTTAGTTCTGCTTTAAAAGAGAACTATAGCCAAACCTTTTTTTGGCTTTAGTTCGCTTTTGGGTCACAGCAGGACATTTACTAATATCCTCCTGTGACCCAAAGTCAGCATATGGCGGGCATATAGCCCACTATATGCTGACAGCACAAATCTGCGCTGCAGCCAGGAATTTTCCCAACAAAATTTGTCTGGATCCACTTTGCTTCTTCATTGACAGCTGGCTAAGTCTCTCTAGAGCCAGAGCCAGCTGTGCCTGGCCCCTCCCCTGTCTGTCCCTCCAATGGGTGCTGAAGAAACAGAGAGGGGAGGGGGAAAATCATTGCAGGGAGTGGTAGCGACCAGCGGTTTGTTATCGCTTGGTTCTCGAGCTATAAAGCCGGCAAGCGACAGCTGCAGTGTCACACACCGGCTCAAACTATTTAGAAGAGTATATTTTACTCTCCCAATAGTTCTACTTTAAAGTGCTTCTACTGCTTGTTAATAATAAGTAAATACTTTAGTGTGCATAGTCTGGGCAGAAGTTGACTTCAATGTATTATGATTATAGATATTTGAGATATATTTATACTGTACATGTTTTTTTCCAGGAGTGTTTGTCAGTCCTTTGTATGTCCACTACTTGCTAACAGGAAAATGGGTGTTTGGAAGATACCTTTGCAAACTCTGGTTAATCTGTGATTATACAATGTGCACAGCTTCAGCATTCAATATTGTTCTGATCAGTTATGACAGGTTTCTCTCTGTAACAAAGGCTGTAAGTATGCACGGAGCTATTAGAATGTCTATGGATTTTCTTAGTCTTTTTCAACATTTCCTTTTCTTATCTGGCAGGTACTCTATCGTTCCTTCCAAAAAAACCACACACAGACAGTCCTCAGAATGGCTGCGGTCTGGGTAATGTCTTCCTTGCTGTACAGTCCAGCCATTCTGTTTTGGAAAAGTGTTTTCAGTACAACGGATGTGGCTGACAGCTCATGCTCAGCTGATTTTTATGAAACCTGGTATTTTAATTTGATAACATCATGCTTTGATTTTATCCTTCCACTAATAAGCATTTCCTATTTTAATTTGACAATCTACTGGAACATATCTAAACGCAGCAGAAGGAAAACATTATATTCTATTCCTCTTGCTTCGGAAGCAAAAAAGAAACATGTTATGCCATTTATCATATCAACCAATCTAGTTTTATATTCCATGCAGCAAAACAGGGAAAAAAATACTGCATTTCCAATTTGAAAGAGAAATCCCCGACGATGTCTTCAGACTAGTCAAAATACTTGCTCCTCATCTTCACAAGCTGGCATTGTGCTTCATCCTCTCAATGTCCATGTCATGAAACTCTCTAGGGACAAGAAAGTGGCTAAATCCTTGACAGTTCTGGTTTCAGTGTTTGTTATATGCTGGGCCCCATATACTTTGCTAGTCACCATACGAACCGCCTGTCGTGGCTACTGTAAAGTATCATATTGGTTCGAGGCTGTCACCATTTGGATGTTGTATTTGAATTCTGCTGTTAACCCTATATTGTATCCACTTTGTCATAAAAAATTCAGAGATGCTTTCACCATTATTTTACAAATGCATTTCTGAGAGACTTCACATGTTTCAGCTAGTTTCTGAAAAATGTAAAGGCTTCAATACTGTACTAAATTTTAAAGTGTAACTCCATTTATGTTGAGAAAAACCCTCTGTGTGATTAATGTACATTGCAAGACTTTTAACAAACTTAGTTTCAGATCTCTACCCTTTCCTGTTCTTAATGGAAAAGGCTGTTTATTTCACCATGTCTTTCCTGACCAATTCCTAAATGGGAGAATCTGGTTCATCATAACCACATGGTGAAATCTCCATGCTCTGATGAAAAAAGCTGCAGTGTTGGCATCCCTTTAGAAGTAGTTAATCTTTAGCAAGTATCTCACCAAAAATTACATTTCTATTGCCTAATGTGTGACTTGTATCTTAGTGCAGTAAGTTCCAAGTACCATACGCACTTGTGCGGTCTTACAGTTCAAAAAAAGGGCATTTGTGGTGCTCAAGGTGACCGCACGGATGGCGCCGTGCAAACACTAGTAATAAGTTCCAAACAGCATCGCTGTGTCGCTCTGATGAAGGATCCCTGCGAGGATCCGTAACATTAGCACTATATGACATTATGTGACATCCTTCATTGAATAAATAGATCAATGTAATATTGATACTTGACTTTCCAAGTGTGTGCCGATGAAATCCTGGAACTTGTGCAGACATCTGAGAAAGTCAGCGAGCTAATCACACAAGCAAGAAATTACATTTCTGGGGACCAAATGGTGTGGGTCACCATATTGCATTGAATTTGTTTTTACAGTTTTAGAAAATTACAGTTGCTTCAGATTGAAATGGAAATAATTTTTTTTTAAACTTTAAATTAGAAAATGGCTTGTGTAGCAATTTATATGCTATATTTTTTTAACAAAAGTGGAGTTTCCCCTTGAAGATGAACTGCAGGTATATATAAAAGACAAAAATGAATACAGCTCTTTATTCATTATAGTGAAAGTAAACCTTAAAAAGAAAAAAAAGGTGTGTCCCTGGGACTTTTAGCCACAATGTGTTATTATGCACAGCCAGCATATTAGCACAATATAGTGGACTTACCTGACAAACTGATTCCATCCAGTGATGCACTTCTTCCTCACTGGTGCTTTCATCTTCTTCTGGGTTTTGAGTCATCGGCCGATTGATTGGCCGGGCTCTAATGACATAACTCCTGAACATGCACACGGGTCTTTGCACTGAGCTGTGCATGTGTGGCTCAGCGCACATCTATCCTTTAGATTTACCAACAACTATGTAGTACTACAGCCTGCATGAATCTAAACTAAATAAATTGGTGAGGCAGACTCTTGCACTACATAGATGTTGGTAAATATAAGGGACATTGCACAAAGACTGTAGAGCAGGGGTGCCCATTAGGTCGATCGCGATCTACCAGTCGATCGCAAAGTGATCCCTGGTAGATCGCGATGTCCTGTTCTCCTGTCGTGGGGCTTCTCTGGATCCCCGCTGCTCTCCCCCATCTGTATGCAGCGGGGATCCGAGAAGTGAACGAAGCGCTGCTGGCGGCGGCGGCGCTATCACAGCAGCACGCCGAGCGGTAAGGAGAGAGAGAGAGCCGCTCGGCCTGGATCTGACAGCCGGTGGCTCTCTCACTGCACATGCTGCTGTGACAGTGGCTCCGTCCGAATGACCTCCCGCGGCTGAAGTGCTTTCCTCACTTCTCCTCGGATCCCCGCTGCCTCTGCATGGGAGAGCAGCGGAGATCCAGAGAAGAAGCTGAGCCCCCCTGTGTGCGTGGCCGAGCGGCAGAGGATCGGTACATATCAGTGATATGTACCAATCCTCTGTGCAGGACAAACACTGGAGCGATCAGCTGATTACTCCAGTGTTTGTAAATAACTGAGGACACATAGTACTATGTATTCCCAGTTATGAATGAACAGGATGTGATTTACATCACTTCCTGTTCATTCATGAGTTTCTCAATGGGGAGTTGCACTCTGTACAGAGGCCCCTCCCCATTCAGAAACAGCTTGATAGTAAATATTTTTTGAATGAATGGGAAGCCTCTGAGCTTCCCATTCATTTAGAACAGAGGCTGCAGAAAAAGAGATTGAGGACTTTGTGTCCTCAATTTCTTTTTCTATTTTAAAAGGGAAATATCAGGGGTCTGTTCAGACCCATAATATTTCCCAAAAACCCCCCCCCCAGTAAAAAAAAAAAAAAAATTAAAAAAAAAAAATTAAAATGAAATACAAAATAAGAAATAATAATACAAAAAAAATATATAGTAAAAAAAAAATCCTGGAGGCGGGGCGCTGGGTGATGTCACATGCCTGTTAGGGGGGGCGCATTTTTTTTCTTAACCAAAACAAATGGAAAACACACTCATCAATTCGTAACCAGCTTTACAGCAAGGTGCACATGGAAGGGCTTTATACAATACAACAGCAAAACGTTTCCCAGCACACTCACCAGCCAGTACGTTTTTTTTCTTGCCTCGGGCGCAAAGGGAGCTGGCTACGGCTATGCTCCCGCGGTGCTCGTGTGGCTGCCGGCTGAATATGTTAGACGCCGCAGACGGAAAGGGGCAGGACACCTCTCCCCGTGTGCAACGTCGGCCACACGGGCACCGCGGGAGGACAGGACGCCGGCGCCTCCAGAACGCACTGAAATGCGAGCCGGCTGACTCCCTGCGTTCAGGGGCAGGAGGGGGCGTGGGGTTGTATTGAAGTCAATGGCACCGCAGCCATGCCCCCACCCACAGTGCGATCACCTGCCTGCATTCGGTCCAGTGCAATCTGCAAAAATAGTGCTTGCTGCATTTTTGCAGATCGCACTGGACCGCAACGCAGGCACTATTGTGCCTGCGTTCCGGGTGCGGGTGATCGCACTGCGGGTGAGGGGCATGGCTGCTGTGTTTTTTCGTTGGTAGATCTCATTGAGCTTGTCATTTGAAAAGTAGATCTCCGAACGAAAAATTGTGGGCGCCCCTGCTGTAGAGAGTACATGTGTCACCCGCTTTTAGCTGCTGTCCAATCTCCTGTAGGTTTAAAGCAGGGACGTGCGGTCAGGGGAGGCAGGTGAAGCAGAGTCTCACCTAGTATTATGGAGGAAAAAGCTGACAGCTTCAAGTCTGAAGCTGACAGCTTTATCTTCGTTCAGAGCGGCTTGTTACAGGTTACACAGCAGGGAAATCCTTCCCGCTGTGTAACCTGTCATGGACGGAGCGCTGCCTGTTAATTACAGGCAGCACTGCATCCGGCTTTTGACAGGTAGTTAGGTTACACAGCAGCGGGCTTGCCCATTGCTTGTGTAACGTAACTTGGTGAGGTAAGAGCTGTCACAGCCCCTACTCTGTGTTAGAGGTGTGAGCTCTGTGGATGGCTTGGACCAATGGCAAAGCCACTGTCTCTAAGATGGCATGGTGTGGGGAGCTGAGGGAGAGTAACTCCCATGTGCTACAGCAAATGTGGATGTGTGTGCAGTGAGTGTAATGCAGGGCCTTGCTGCTTTGCGCTCATGCTACAGAGGTGACACATTGATCACAGTGGTGATCAAAGGGCCAGATGTAGAAAAACACAGTGGTGGAGAATAACTACCTAGACCCTAATGCTGGCCATACAGGTGGCACCTGACACGTGGCAACTTTTAGGAAAGTTCAACAACTTTTAATCGACTCAGTCAATTATCTGAATTCAGTCAAACACTCACCACACTCACCAGCCAGCATGCAAAAAAACCTGTCTAACCACTAAGGTTAAAAGCAGAGGTTTAAATACACGTCTTCTGCAAAAAATTTGAAAGCCGCACAGCCACATCAAGGCACCTCCATATAGTGCGGTCCTAACTCTAAACTATGAGAGACTCCATCTTGGAGCACATGGGGCAAAAGATTACATTGGGTGCAGGCTTGTCAGGGGGAAGCCCTTAAAGGCACACGTACGCACAAGAGACCCCGCACATCACAACGGCAGCTGAAACCCCCCATGTGTCACTGCACCAAATCAGTCAAGCAAAACAAATGGCAAACGCACTCAACAATTCGTTACCAGCTTTACAGCAAGGTGAACACGGAAGGGCTGCAAAAAGTAAACCAGCAAAAAGTTTCCAGGCACACTCACCAGCCAGCATGCAAAAAAACCTGTCTAACCACTAATGTTAAAAGCAGAGGTTTAGATACACGTCTTCTGCAGAAAATGTGAAAGCCACACAGCCACGTCAAGGCACCACAAACCTGCACCCAATTTAATCTTTTGCCCCATGTGCTCCAAGATGGGGACTCTCACAGTTTAGAGTTAGGACCGCACTATATGGAGGTGCCTACAACCTGAGCCTATTCACAGCATACACATGTGCCAATGGCCTTGTACCCACAAAATATTATGTAATTACTGTGCCACAAGTGACAGTCATACAGACACACATAAACTACAGGACAAACTTTTAAAACTCTTCCCTTACATATGCTTTCTGTCTGCGCCTACCTTAAAAAAGAACTTGGAGCTTCCAGAAACTATTGAGACAATAAACATTTTGATCAGGAGTATGTAATGTGCAACATGGCTTACAGAGTACAGATATCAGAACTGTGTAAGATATGACATGCTATATAGACTGTAGGGGTAAATCCATAAATTACATCTTATCATAACCAGGAGCAAGAAATATGGAATAGATCCAGCACACGGCACCAGTACATAGGGTAAACCCGGTACAGACTAGTACATGCCTCTGGAATTGGTAGGCATGTGTTTACACCAGTACTGCACTGGGTAAAACTTTACTGTTGAAGGTATGCAATATATTCCCTCAGGAGCTCTGGTAAGGGTCATACTTACCTATCTACTTAGCCAATATTTTCTCGATTTCCCTACATCTGCCCCTACTGCGATCCTCCACATCTGCCACTGTTGTGATCCTCCATATCTGCCGCTGCTGAGACCCTCCACATCTTGCGATCAGTGGCTTAACAATCACCATTGCGACGCCTGGGTCGCTATGGGCTGCGGGCTGTCACTGGCGACTGTGAGGAGAAACACGCCGCTATTCACATGTGCAGCGTCGTGTACCTCCTTACAGCCGCTGCTGAGTCGGTGACAACCAGCAGCTTCGGAGAAGGTGACTGGGCCCGTCGTCGGCAGCGATGGAGGAGGCGGGCCCAGCGATCGAGGAGGTGAGGACCTGAGACACCGCAGAGCCCACCATAGATAGTCTATGGTGGGCTCTGCAGGGTCACCCTCAGGTGGGCTGTTTTATACTAGAAATCACAGGGACCTATAGCAAAATCTTGTATGGGGCCCTGTGATTTCTAGTTACGTCCCTGGTAGCGATCTTCCACATCTGCCACTGCTGAGATTCTCCACATCTGCCCCTGCTGTGATCCTCCGCATCTGCCCCTGCTGTGATCCTCCGCATCTGCCCCTGCTGTGACTCTCCACATCTGCCCTGCTGTGACTCTCCACATCTGCCCCTGCTGAGACCTTCTGCATCTGCCCCTATATGTAGCAAATTGATATACTATTCTGCATTGCTGTATCTGGGATTTGTAGTCCTCCATAGCTCATGGTATTCTACATTGTTGTGTAATGTATTGCTGGGATTTGTAGTCCTCTATAGCTGATGCCATTCTGCATTGCTGTATAATGTGGTGCTGGGATTTGTAGTCCTCTATAGCTGATGGTAATATTCTTAAGTGGCTGAACTACCAGGGTCTCAGCGGTTGCAGCTGTGACAGGGCCTGGAGCTCCACCACTCTCCTAAAAAACATTAGTCTGTATTGTTTTAGAACACATGACACTAAAAAAAAAAGGTATTGGTAATTGGTATCGTCTAGTACTTGAGGAAAAGTATCGGTACTTCTACTTTTTGCCTAGAAAAATGGTATCGGTGCATCCCTACTCCTGTCCATCCCCATACCGAGGTACGGACATGTAGTAATATTGATGGGAGGGAGAGTTAATGGACTACAAGTGCGGTGCATAGACAGCCATCTGGCAACCATCTGAGGGTGTCGGGGGGGGGGGGGGGGGCGCAAAACTCTTTCCTCCAGCTCTGAGTGGGGGATTGAAGAGAAGGTGATTATATTCAGCTGGGGAAAGTGGTAGTAAACTAATTCTTCTTCTCCTGCATGGGCAAATCACAGGTTCACTTTAAAGGTGTTGTGCAAGCAATTGTGAAGGGAATTGTGCTGGATTCAGTATGTAGACAGATTGCTAAGGATCATCTTTTTTGGTGTATATGTTTCAGTGATTGGAGCTCATTTCTGCCTCTCGGTTTACAAGCAATGGTAAATTGTATCATAATCTAGGGGAGAAAAGGATGAAGCTGCACTATGATGTGCAGTGTATGGAAACAAGGGAGTCAGAGACTGCAGACAATAGTGTGTGAGCCAGAGTAGAATCAGATGATATGCCGCCTCAGCATTCTCTGTTTGTTTCAGGCCTAGTAAACATTATTTGCTGTTTAAGCCAAGACTCCTATATATTTCCCGTTCTGTAGGGGTTATGTGTTCACCTTCGCACTTCTAAGCACTTCTTTGTCACAACTCTTTCAACATAATTCTTATACTACAGGATTAGTCACCAGACTAACTTTATTAGAAATTTGACAAACCCTCCATTTCATGAATGAAATAACTGAAATAATTATACCGCATTATATGTTACTTCTTCCCTGATTATGTGGTAATTCTGTGTTATTACTGGAACAATTAAATATGTATACTCAAAAGTGTTTTGTATCTGTAATTTTCTTTTTAATACCGCTGTGTAATTGCCATAGGATAAACTAGGGACTATTAAACCTTTCCCGCAAGATGGGTCACTTGCTTGCGTCTCTGTAGATATTGTCCCTGGTGGAACAATATGTACAGTATATATAAACCTAAATTTATTAATTGTTCTGCCAGCAGGTGGTCATGATTTCTGGGTGCCTGATCCTGCCTCTAGGCATTCAAGACATTTAAGGTAGGCACAGATTTGATTCACCATAGTTTTATAATGTACAGTAAACTAAAGTATTTTCTACCTTTTAGTGACACCCAAGAATAAGTACTCATAATGAAAGCCTACTCCAGGAATGGGTCTTTGGCTGGAGTTTCCACCTTCTTCAATACTTTCAATATTTCTAATGAAAGCCAGGCTTCCCCCGATGATTCCAGAATTATTCAAGCTGTGTTAATGTCTTGCATGATCAGCGTGACGGGAACAGGAAATGCTTTGGTCATTCTTGGTTTTATAATAGATAAGAAACTTAGGACCCCAAGTAACTACTTTATATTAAACCTGGCCATCAGTGACTTCTTCACAGGTAAACATAAAATAGGCAAGACACTGTTATCTTTTATAGTGATGTATGTACAGTAAATATAAACTATTGAACTTTGTACTTCCTAGAATTATTAATATAACAGAAAGTTGAAAGAAATCCAATACGTCATTCTTTTTGTAAATGTATTTATTTCGCATTTAGGATTTGGACCAAATAAACTTCGGAAAAGACAAAATAAATGTGCTTTAAACACAATATATTTAAAGCTAAACTCCAGGGCCAAATTCAAAATGACCCTAACAGTGGGCTCTCCCCGCAATACAGGGGTTGAAAGCTCTTTTTGGTCTAAGTTACCTTTAAATGCAGTTGAATTGTAAGTGAGGACGCTGAGGGCTCGCCCACAACCCAGAACATTGGAGAGAAGAGGGGAATGGTGGTTGCCAGGGAAGCCAAGGAAAAAGCAGTTTGTAATAGTACCATAGAGAAACATTTGCTTAACTCTTTGAGCATGGGAGAAGCCCAAGGGTAATTGGATGCTTTAAGGTTAACTCACTTCCACTGCAGAAGTTAAAATGTATGTAAAGCATATGTTAGTTTTAGGTTAGTGGTTAGAATCCCTATTAGGTTTTATTGTGGTCTGTGTCACTGCTAGGGAAACTCACCGACTCTATTTATCCTGGTGACCGCTGTCACCAGGACACAAAGGGAGGCAAGATCCAACATTTTGAGTAGTAGTCATCAGAACAGGAATAGAGTGGAAATCTTCCAATGGAGACACTTGTTTTGGTGACATGTATCAAAACATCTTTGGAGATATTTTCTCTCACTTCTCCAATGGTACACAGATGACGAAAAAACTGACAGGGGTTCTAAAAAATTTTTACGCTATCCACATTGGAAAAAAAAGGTTTTGGCTTTAGATATACTTCAAGGTGTTGTATAATATATATGATCATTATATTGTTAATGCAAACTTTATCAGATTGGTTTAGTGCAATATGTTTTTCACTTCACAGAGCTGCCTACATTGAGTTGCTCATTGATAAGGACTGATTCGTTTTCCCAATGATATGATAGTTATCTATTTTTCATTGAAGAATAGTTAAAATGATGTTATCGTTTTAATGTTACTAAATAAATAAATAAGAGTATATATGAATCATAGCAGAAATAGGATTTTGGTTTTCCATGTGTTTCAGAATGAGCACATGAAATCTAATCTCAAAGCAGATCATATGCTGTTGACTACTTTCTCTATGGCTTATTTCTGTTCTAAGATGGCAATGTCATGCAGACATGCAGCCCTCTACTTTCTTCCACATCATGATATTACACGTAGATATACTGTATTTCAAGGATAGAAGAGAAGGGGCTACTGCTCTCTTCCTTGGATTTATTTAATTAAAGCATATTATGGAGAATACAGTAAAAGGTGCTGCAATATGCAAAGGTGGACGGGAACACCCAAAAAAAAAGAAGACATGAACAGAGTTGGGAATAATCTATCTGTTGCAAGCATATCCTCGATATTTATGAAGCAAGGGTACTGACACTGTAAAAGGAATCTCTGGAGAAGAAATATGGAAGCTGCTATTGGTGATTTATTTTGAAGGTGCACACTCCAGGGCTGCCATTCTTATTTTTACTGTAGTACTTAGTCGGTTACTGACCTGAAACAAGCTTTTGCATATTAGGTGGTCAACGCCTGATATGCACGTGATTATTGCAGGTAAGTGCATATTTGTTAATAATATAAAAATATTATGAGGCTCACTGCACATTGTTGACAGTCAACAGTTTGAACATTGTTACACGTGAGCAGAGAGATGACCTTATCAGTGTACTAATGCTCCTTCAATGTATTGCGCATGGCTGGTATGTCTA